CAAAAGGTTTACCAGCATCTAGAAAAAAGGTGCAAATTAATTGGCATATCATTTGATTTTGAAAAGGCGTTCGACACTGTACCACATCATATTCTACTACAAAAACTGGCTAAAGCAGGAATAGGCGGAAATCTTTTGAAATGGTTCGCTTCTTATCTTTCAAATCGTACACAAAAAGTATCTGTAGGCAGGCTGTTTTTTCTTCTTCTGTTCGAGTGTCGTCTGGAGTTCCTCAGGGTAGTATCCTTGGCCCGATTTTATTTCTCATATTTATAAATGATCTTGCAGCATCTCTCAAATCTTCTCTTGTTTCTTGTCTTTTTGCTGATGATGTCTTCTGTGTTACAAACATTTTCGAGGCTCAAAAATGTATCAATGAGCTTGTTCTCTGGTCTGATATTAATGAGGTCAAATTAAACATAAACAAATGTCTCTGGATTTTATTTTCAAACTCTAGTAAAATGCTTCTTTCACTCACTCTTTCAATAAACAACGTTGATATAGAAAGAGTTTTGTCTCTTAAACTTCTTGGCATGATTATTTCATATAATTTAATGTAGAAGGCTCGCATTGAATATGTGTCAATGAAATCTCGTCAAATGTTAGGCTCTATCTCAAGAGTCTTTCGTGACTCGCTCTCATTTCTTCGTTGTCATCTGTATAAAACTTGTGTAAGAACCGCGCTTGAATACGGTTGTGTTATCTACGATTCCACTTTTACTTCTCATCTTGAAATTTTGGATAAAGTTCAGCGTCTTGCTAGTAGGGTCATTTCACAAGATTTTAGTAGTTCTTCTTCTCTGCTCAAACAATTTAAAATTCAACCACTTTCAAACAGGCGTCTATATTATCGCCTTCTCTATTTCTATAAAATTTTCTCTCATAAAAGTCCTCTCTCCTCTTTTGATCTGATTTCACAGTCAACAACGCGTCGAAGTTCTCGATTAGGCCATGATAGTTGCGTGTTTGTTCCTCGTTTAATGTCAAAATCTGCATCTAGCTCTTTTCTTCCGCGAACCTCAAAAGATTGGAATGAACTACCTTCTGTTTTAGCCTCTCAAACTTCTTTAGCCACATTCAAAAATATGCTGCGAGGTTACGAAGGCTTTTAGTAATGTTATTTTGTTCACTTATTTGAAATTTTTAGTTTTAGGTTATCACAGGGTATCCACGGATGCCACAAGATTTTGTTTCTTTTTTTTGTGATATCCTGCTCTTTAGTAAAAATAAATCTTATCTTATCTTATTAACAGTTAATTATAGTGCCACGTTATTAACCACGTCACTCGAAATGGACACGTAGACGCAAAATGAATGCAGAACAAGAAAAAAAATCCATTAATACTGATTTTGTTGGCTAGTGATTCACGTTTATTACATATTTTGGTTGTCAGCGTACCTTTTTTGTTTTATTCACGCAGACTGTACATCACCTGTGATGAAATGACTCTGAGCCATTCATTCATTCATTTTGGTAACAACATTTGATATGTTTCAAAATTCCTTTTTTCATCCTTAATCACGACTGAAGAATCATTATGGCAATAATGATTCTTCAGTCGTTCTTCAGAAGACAAGCTGACGATATATCGTCAGCTTGCCTTCTCCAAGAGATGATTTTAGATAGCATTAGAGATACAAATGACTAGTATTGCTAGGAATGGTTTGATGAAAATTAAGTCGATAAAATGTCACTGTCATAACGGGTGCACCGTAATTCCTTTTTTGTTCCCTATAAATGTTCTCTTCCGACGATGGTTATGGACCGACTATGTAAATGGAATAGAAAATGATGCGATAATTGATCCAGATCCGATCAGATCCATCATCAACCATCACTGTTCTCACGTAATAATAAAAATCCGTAGAGAAACATTTCTGGTGTTTTTTTAGCACGATCTTGTGTCTGTTTTATTTTCCTTGCCAAGAAATGTTTTAGTTTTCTATTTTTCTTGACTTTTTTCTAGCTATTTTAGACTAAAGGCGTGCAAGAGGCATAGGACTCAACAATTTTTCACAGGATAGGACCATGCACTAAGTTTCTTGAGATCAAAGCTTGATTTTAATGGATTTCGTTTGATAAATCAATTCAAATCAATTACATTTTAATCAATTTAAGTTAGTTTATCGAACTAAATCAATTGAAATTAATTTTTAATCTAACAAAAACTTAGTGCCTGGCCTTATCCTGTGAAAAATTGTCATATTCGTAATCAGCATGGTTGATAACCTATAATTCATTAGATTTTGATCAAAAAGCAAAATATCACCTCGCGAGGTTCCCTCGTGAGAGAGAATATTTCAAAATATTGTGCACTATGCCTTTGTTATGATATATACTATTTATATTTTATATAAAACATAAAAAACAATATATACAAAAAATGACAGAGAATTTTTTAGTTGTCTGTACATATTTGACCGGTATTTATATGGTGTGAAAAAAAGTTTGACTATGATCATGTTTAAGTGTATTTTCGTTGATCTTTGATCATTTTTGCCATTTGTTGCATCGCTTCGCATATACCATCTCCATTTATGGCACATGCTGATTGAATATACCATCGACGTTTCGATACTGAATGTAGATTTAATTCTTCAATTAATTCTGAACAATTTAATGCTGTTGGTAAATCAGATTTATTGGCAATAATTACAAATGGTACGTTTGACATATTTTCATTATTTATTATTCCAAATAGTTCGTCTCTTGCTTCCTGTATTCGTTCGCGATCATTACTATCTATAACGTACAATAGACCATGTGTACCTTGAAAATAATGCATCCATAGTGGGCGAATTTTATCTTGTCCACCAACCTAAAACATTAAATCTTTTCAATAATCATTTTTCAAAGATAATAAATATCTTACTTACATCCCACACAGTGAATGATATACCAGGAGCTGGTGAGACTGTTTCCACATTAAAACCTTTGAAGAAGAAGAAGAGACAAATCATAAATAAACATAGACACAATGACTCAATATACTAATTAACACACAAATCCATTATAAGAAAAAGAGAAAATAATTTAATTGTATAGTTTTAAATATAAAATTCATAAAAAATCTAGTAATAGTTCTTCTTGTATCAATTGATAGACTATGCATTATTATTACTGTAATAAGAATTTTATCGAATAATTACCTATTGTTGGTATCGTTTGTACGTTTTCATTTAATTTAATTTTGTAAGGTGCCGCTAATTCAAAAATCAAGCACTCTTCATTTTTCCTTGAAAGACACATCATCCGATGCAGAATTTTGTGCTGATTACGAATATCACCTTTTTAGTTCGATTTGTTTGAGTTTTGTGTG